AGTCAAGGTAGATGTCACTGATTTTCGAAACTTGGTTACTTCATTTGCCATTGAAGTAACCGACCTCCATCCAACAAGAACAAGACAAATTGAGGTTGACTCTGACCCAGAGATCGAAGCCCTATTCAGAGAAAGTCAGACCCCTGGTGATGCCAAAAAGGGGGAAAACACAACACAAGTAGGCACCTCTTCTACAAGGTCTCTGGCAGCCAAGAAAGCAGCCGAAACCAGGAAGAAGAACAAGCTCTACAAGGAAGAAGAAGAAGAAATCAGAAAAAAGAAAAGCAGAAGAGGCCAAAGCCAAGGAAGAAGCCAAGAAGAAACAAGAAGACAAGCAAGAGTAGGCTGGATATTAAAAGTCCGAAAAAGACTATAAACTATTGTACTCTAGAAAGTAGAGCAATGTACAAAAATTTCAAAGAAAATCAATAAAAATGTTTGTTACTTGTGTTGTATAGTTTTGGCATCATCAAAAAGGGGGAAATTGTTAGTACCCAATTTTGATAAGATTTTGATGATGCCACTATACATAACACGTGTACATTGTGTCTCAATTTAATTTACAATAAGTGACAAAATTAATGTACAATTTTTATGACTAATAAAATATGACCGGAAAAAGTAAAAATGCAATAAGGTAATTTTATTTACCTTAATAGGATATTTATATCCTACCGGTATATTTTATTAGCCCACAAAAATTAAATGTCACAAAACAAGGCCAAGTTCGAAAATAAATATACAGTGAATGTATATGATTGGAGACAAATACTTGACCGGTATTTAATACCGAATCAAGTACTGGGGACTACAGCATGGGACTCAAACCTGGAAGAAGATGCCGCAGCCGAATTATTTATAGACAAATACACCAGCCGCAATTAAAGCTCCAGCACAAGAAGACAAGAGTACTACTCGTACTCTTCAAAAGTTCAACGGCAGAGATCAATCTATCCTAACCAACGGATAAGATTGATTAGCCAAAGAGCCTATAAATAGAGGCTGAAACGCAAGTTTCTAACCAAGCATTTGAGCATCCAAAGAGAGAATTTCTATCAAGAGCATTTACGAGATATCTAGCAAAAAAGAAAGTGCTATTCTAAACTTTACTCTCTGCTTGGACTCATGCTTCACTAAACTTCCAGTTTACAAAGCTTTTTCATTGCCAAATCATAGAAGTTTAGTTCCTAGTTGGAGGTTAGAACTTTCTTTAAACAAATCATATATTGCTGTAAACAGTTAGGAGAACAGTTGTTCGGATCCTACAGTGTAAGTAGATAGATAGAGTACCTTTTGATCCCCACTAGGTCATTAGAGAAACGTCTAAGGACTGAGTAACTTTGAGTGGTGCTATACTCACTGTGAAAAACCTTCAATCTAGGCCTAAGTGTTGTAAAGGCTAGGTTGGCACTAAGTGTATTGGGCTTAATACTTTAGTGAAATCCATCTGAAAGAGGGTGGGACTGGACGTAGGAGGATTACACCACCTCTGAACCAGGATATACTGTGTGTTGATTTACATTTATTCAACAAGCACACACTTAGCACCTCTCACGAAAAGATTGAAGTTTGCCAGCAGAATCTTAAGCAGTTGTCTTAACTGACCCAACTGCTTATCCTACTGCTTAATCACTTACTTTCTTTGAAGATCATTTTCACATCAGAAACGCACCTCACCCTCACTAAGAGGTCTGCTCAACAATTTACCAGCAATTCACTTTCCCAGTTTAGCAGGTGCCTCAGCAGTTCCCTGGTGACCACCCAACTGCTGAGCCCTCTGCTACAGAAAAACTTCATCTTATTCCTGCCAAAGCACCTTTTCTGAAAACCCTCATCACCCTAAACAATATTCCATTATCATCTTCATCATAAAGTCTGTATTAGTCTAGCAGTTGCCTCAGCAGTTCCCTACCACCTAGCCAACTGCTAAGCCAACTGCCAAGCCAACTGCTAGCTATCTAAGTCCAATCTTCCCCAGATCTGAAAGTGATTAAAACACTCATTATATATAAAGGGTAAAGACTTCCGCTGTGCATCTATTAATCTCTCAAAAGATTATAGATCAACTCCTCTAGAGGGAATTCTTTGTAAAGGTCGAAAAGATTTAAAAGTCTATTCACCCCCCCTCTAGACTTTTACCCTATCCGGGACCATCATATTGTACTTTAGAGTTTAGACCAATGTACAAAAATCTTATTGAAAATCAATAAAAACATTTGTTTCCTTTGTTGTATAGTTTTGGCATCATCAAAAAGGGGGAAACTGTTCGTACTCAACTTTGATAGATTTTGATGATGCCACTATACTCTACACTTGTACATTGGGTCTCATTTAATTCAAGTATCAGTGTTCAACTTCTAATCATAAAGTGACAAATAAATGTACAAATTTTGAGACTAATAAAACTATACTGGAAATTTAAAAATGCAATAAGGTAATTTTTATTTACCTTAATATGATATTTAAATCTTACAAGTATAAATTTATTTGCACACAAAAATTAAACTGTCACATAGGTTCGAAAATCATATATATTGAATGTATATGATTAAAGACAAAACTAGACCGACAGTTAATGCTAAAACCGTACATGGACCCGGAACATGGGACGCACACCAAGAATTGTCTCTGAGGTGAGTCTTCAGCAGCTAAATCATGGGAGACAAGCTTTGATAGGGATTTAATGCTAAAATGTACATGGGGCCTAGAAACATGAAGCACGTACAACTGACGTCGATCCTCCGGCGGCCAAATAATGAAGAAAGACTCAATAAATGCTCCAGCACATGAAGTACCAGCTCGTACGAACGTCAAAGATTAAATCATCCTAACCAACAAATGAGATTAATCAAAAGGAGTAGCCTACAAATATAGGCCGAAACGAAAGTTTCTAACCAGGCAATTGAGCATCCTAAGTAGAGAAAAACTTCCATTGAGCATATACGAGCTATCTAGCAAAAGAAAAAGTGCTGGTCTAACTTTACTCTCTGGTTGGACTCATGCTTCACTAAACTTCCAAGTTACAAATCTTCATTGCTAAATTCTGGAAGTTTAGGTCCTTGTTGGAGGTTAGAACTTTCTTGTAACAAATCACAAAAATATTGTTGTAAACACTTAGAAGGATTGTGTTATCAAGTCCTAAGTGTGGATAGATAGATAGAGTACCTTTTGATCCCACTGGATCAATTGAGAAAATTCTAAGGATTGAGTAACTTGGAGTGGTGTTGTACTCCTTGTGAAACACCTTCAATCTAGGCTTGAGTGTTGTAAAGGCTAGATTGACACTAAGTGTATTGGGCTTAATACTTTAGTGGAAATCCATTTGAAAGAGGGTGGGACTGGATGTAGGAGGATTACACCACCTCTGAACTAGGATATATTGTGTGTTGATTTACTTTCATTCAACAAAGCACACACCCAACACTTCTCATAAAAGGATTGTAGTTTGCCAGCAGTATCCTAAGCAGTAGTCTTAATTGATCTTATTGCTTATCCTATTGCTTAATTACTTACTTTATTTGAGACAACTTTCTCACAAGGGCCCTGTAACGTCACTACTAAAAAGTCTGTTCTATCAGATCTCAGGAATTCTTCTCTCAAGTTTAGCAGTTGCCTCAACAGTTCCCTGGTGAGCACCCAACAGCTAAACCCACTGCCCTTACACATTTATTTCTTTTGAACATCTCAACGTCACAAGATCTTCATAACATCATGACCAAGAAGTTTGTTCAAACTGATCTCTGAAAATCAGCCTGAAACTGAGCAGGTGCCTCAGCAGTTCCCTAGTGGTCACCCAACTGCTGAGACCACTGCTCTCGTAAACTTTAACTTATACTCACCTCAGCACATTTCCAGAAAGCTCTCATCACTGTAAGCAACAGTCTATCTTCACTTTCATCATACACTAAATATTTCCTCAGTATTTGCCTCTGCAGTTCCCTGCCATCCAGCCAACTGCCAAGCTAACTGCTCACTATATAAGTCCAAACATTACCCAAACTAGAAAGTTGTCACACACTGATCATATAGAGGTTAAAGACTTCCGTTGTGTATCTATAAATCTCCCAAAAGATTATAGGGTAAACTCATCTAGAAAGAAAAAGTTTTTAAAGTTGAAAAGGCTTTAAAAGTCTATTCACCCCCCGTCTAGACTTTTATCTCTATCAGGGAGCATCATGTTCCTTGACGTGCACTTTGTCGTGGTGTGCACTTCAAAATAATAATTACAATACAACACTTATACGTAGTATAGTGTAGTAAGGTTCGTATCCACAGGGAAAGGAATACTTTTCTTTTTAATTAAATTCTAGTAACAAGGGGTTTTTTAGATTTGATTTGATTTAATTTAATTAACACTAAGATGAATGACTTATATAAGTTTAATTAATAGAGATAAGTACTTGGTTTTGCTTTTATCTACTTAATGAAATGTTCATCGATCCCGGTTATATCTTTAACTATCTTCCTCTCGAATACTCAACCGAGGAGTATATCCAATTCATCGAGGGTAGTTATTAATAACGAGACACGTTCATTAATAAACCTTACTACCGAGTCAATATAGAACACGCGCCGTATATTAACCCGATAGTAGCAATAAACTTGAGATGAAAACGATTGAGATTGATAACCTCAACACAAGCGGTTTATTGGTTTAATCAATATAATTAATTCCCCTTAGATTATAAACCATGAGACGCATGCATTAATAATCCAAATTTACTACCGTTGAACGAACCGAATTAATAACAAGCGTATTAATCGATTGATTCTAGTAATAATTAATATATGAAACAAAACTAGTTGATCCTTTAAGTAATGCTCAAAATATTAATATGAAATATGAATAGGAATTAATTAATATTCAAGGAAGAATATTATTAAAGAAGATGAATCCTACTATAATTAATGTCAAGATGTTAACTAATTGTCATCTTAGAAACACTCCCCAACATTAATATAGAGGAAGAAAATACTACTATAATTAATGTCAAGATGTTGCAAGATATGAGTATGCTCTATATTCTCTCTAGCCCTAATTCGCGAACTACTCCGTCTATTGGCTTGAAGCCAGTGCGGCATCGATGCCGCCGGCGGAAGGAATCGGCCAGGTGACTTCGCAGGCAAAGAACTCATACGCAGCGGTGGTAAGGGATGATATCCCCGGCCATCGATTGCACACTCAGCCCTGCTCCTTTTCCGACGCGGGTGACTTGGGGTTGTCTGGAAGCTTCAGGGGTTTCCCGTTGATTTCCTTCACTGACGATGACTTGCAGGTTCTCTCCCACCCTTTCCGATTTGCTCTGAATGGTACTTTTCCTTTCGCTCGCCCCCCCTCCCTGCGATTCGTAAGGCTTTTCAAAGGTTAGGGTTTTTACAGAGTTATTCTGTGGGGTTGCTTCACTCGAACATTATTCTGATTAATTTCCAGTCAGATCTGGATTTTCAAAAATTTTGGGGAAAAAAGTTTGGGATTTCTTTGGGTACCGGATGATGGTAACCAGATGGACGCCCAACTTCTCCGTCGAACGGGACTCTCCCCTAGCCCCTATCTGGATCTCCCTTGACGGACTCCCAGTACACCTTCATGACTTAAAGAGCCTTGAAAGCTATCACTAAGCTCTTTGGTAAACCGATAAGAATTGATACCCCAACTGCCCACTTCTCCAGACCTTCTACTGCCAGGTTGTGTATTGAATTGGACGTCTCACTTGATCTCCCCCAAAAAATTTGGATTGGCAATGGTCCTTCCGGGTTTTTTTTCTTCAGAAAATTGTGTATGAAAACCTACCTATTTTCTGTAAAAAAAATGCTCTCGGTTTGGCCACAGTGCTACAGAATGCCCCAAAGATTTGATACCAAATCAACAGGTTGTGGTCACAAACTCTTGTGCCCCTGTACTTGGAATGGAATCTGATGCTGGTGTCCCTAAGACTGTTATTGACTCTGCTAGAGTCTCAAAGGTTGTGTGTGTTATGGATTCTGATAAGGTCCCACAGGTTGATGTTTTTGCTGTCCCCAATTCTCATAAACACACTGTTTGTTTTGATATGCTTTATGGCAGACCCTTACTGGCCCAGGCAAACTCTGATTATGCAAGTGCCATCCCTGCTAGTGATGCTGCCAATACCCTGGGAGCTTCTCTTATTGATGATATTGTCCCTAACAATAACAAGGCAGTTTCCGTTTCTGATGCTCTTGTTACTGCCAATAACCAGGCAGTTTCTTTTGTTGATGTTATAGTCCCTAAAAATGCTGCTATTGCTGCTCCTTTAAAGGACCATTCAGAATATGAAAATGTAGTAGCTTCCCATGCTAGTGCCACTCCTTTAAAGGACCATTCAGATTCTGAAAATGTAGTAGCTTCCCATGCTACTGCCACTCCTTTAAAGGACCATTCAGATTCTGAAAATGCAGTAGCTTCCCATGCTACTGAAGCCACTATGGAAGCCCAAACAATTTATTCTATTGATGTTCCCATACCTGAATGCGAAGCTGCTGTCCCTAGTATACCTTATGATGTAGTTTCTGTTACTGCTAAAGTTAATGCTGCTGAGGCGCCTACTTGTGCTAAAGACCAGGCCTCAGGTCCTATTATGTTAAGTTCACACCCCATCGAGGCCCCAAACGCTGCTAATCATACTGTCCAACATCCTTTGACTACGGATTCTGGTTCATTTGATGCTGAATACCACACTGATGCCCCTATGGATGCTACAATTTGTGCTGAGGTTTTTGTCCAACATTTAGTGGCTCTAGATGAAACCCCGGTGGCCACCCTTAACGTGGCGGTAACCGAGGGAATTCATCAACTGTCCCGACCTGGAAATGATGAGATCATCTCTAATCCGCAACATGAGATTGCAGTTACTAAACTTGTCCCAAACATGTCCAGTGATGAAATTATTTCTGAGGACACCCAAATGAGAACTTTTTCTATTTCAGGTCATGCAGATAATCTTACAATCGAAGAGGAAAAACTTGAAGGATTTACACAGGTACAACGAAGAAGAAGCAGAAATTCAATCTCAAAAATACCACCAAATGAAGACACGGAAGAAGTTCAACTATACTACGAGGTGGGATATAGATCTCATCCCATGATCACTCGAAGGCATTCAAAAAGACCTCAGAACGAAACAACCTACTTTCTCTACCGAGTTGACGAAAGGTTTGACTCACCGCAAAAACTAGCGGCAGCTCTACAGCGATTCAAGTTATCTCGTCTAGAGGAAACAACATACATGCCTTGTCTCAAGAATGCCATAAGATTTCACAACAAATATAATAGATCAATTGCTGCTTCACTGGGGATCCCCTCTAAAAATTTCAACTGTTGATGTTCTTCTTTTTTCTTCGGCTTCACGTTCTTTTTCATTTTCATGCAATGTAACCTCAACTTTCTTGTACTCAAATATTTATTAATAAATTAGGAAGGTGTTCCCCGGCATCTTCCCCATCATGTGTGGTTTGAACCGGGAAAAAAACTAATGTCAAGATGTTAACTAATTGTCATCATAGTAACACTCCCCAACAGTAATATAGAGATAGTATTAAGGAAAGAACTAATAATTAATATTCAAGGAAGAAGATTAAAGAAAATAACTCACAACTTACAATTCATTAAGCTTCAAAGTAGCAAAACCAGGATGGAAGAGTTTAGCTCCTCATTTGGAGACTAAACATGATGAAAATATAAAGAAAGAACTATCTACATTGAGCTTAGAAGTATATGTGAATTGGTTATTTTATTGTGAAGGAAAGGGGTGTATTTATAGACTTTTGGGAGCTGCAGGGTCTGATACCCGACCGGGTATATAGGATACCCGATCGGGTATCTTAGGAAATTTCCCAGAAAATCACTTTTCTGGGCATACCCGACCGGGTATGTCGGCATACCCGATCGGGTATGTCGGCATACCCGATCGGGTATGTGACAAACCTTTTATGAAATCTTGCTCTCATGTTCATTTGTCCTTGGATTTTGATAGTCCCTGTTTCTATTACAGCAATATGAATAACAACATAACAAGAAGAAGATTAACAGAATAGATGAACACAGATGAATCGATGTAAACCCTTCTTGATATACCGTGAACTCGTACACAGAATTATTTGCGCTAAGGCTATTATGAGCGAGTACGAAAGTTAGCCTAATCCTGAATCCTCGGTTCCCTTTTTATATGTGAGGTTCAGGTATGCGAATAAGGCTTTTAGCCTTTTGTATGGGCCTAACACTTGGCCCATATTCAATCTAATAAATGCACATATTTAATACAAGGAATAATAATAAAGCTAATCTATTACAAGATAGATGACAAACTTGATTCACAATTAAAATGATCTTCAACAATCTTCCCCTTTGTGATCAAGTGCTACTTTGTTATTGCTTCTGTGATTTGAAATAGTGCTTCCTCATATTCAGTGCATGTTCATATTGCCTTAGCATGTTTCTCTTGTCTAGGCGATCGTCGATGGCTTTCAGAATGGTCTCCACTGTTGAGTGTTCCTTTTGAATGTATGAGGATGCCTCCTGAAGATTTTGCTCTAACTATTCCTTCATCTTTAGCAGCTGTTCTTTGATTATCTTCAGCGTTCCGTCACAATATTTCTCAACTTCGCTAACCACCATCAGGCGTTTTTCATTCTTGTGGTTGAGGTATGTGACTGCTGGCGGTGTGAATAAGATGTGATACGCTGGGAAGTCTTCTAGCTCTGGACCGTACAGTCTTGGCTTTGTAAGATTTGTTTTTGTCAAATTGCACTCAATAGCCATCTGTAGGTCGTGAGATGAGTGCACTCTGATTTGTCTGAGCATGAATCTTTTGATTGCTGCAAGGCCTTCGCTGTATATTTTGCTTTGTCTGACTGGAAGGTATCGATATGCCATAAACATTTGATAGATGTCGTCTGGCATGATGAAATCATTTTCTTGGCATGTAAATTCACTCCCATCAGTGTGTTGAAGCTTGTAAGAATAGAATCTCACTCCGTGATAATCCTCGGCCTTAACCTGTAGGATTTGATGAATAGGGAGAATGTTGAATTTCAAATCCTGTTCCATCAGCTCTCTTTGAGTACCGGTTGACCTTTGCAACAGCATATGTAGATGACCTCCTGCCTGCTTTCCTGTGAGATGGGTGAGACCTCGCAACTTTAGTTCATTCAGAGGTTTGACTTTGTCTGGTCTACGCCATATACGCTCTCTGATTTCCTCTTGGAAGGGGGCTTTGATTCGTACATTGTCCCAAGGTTTCTCTGTCCTGGGAAGTCGTCCCGCCGATTGTCTGACGACAGATTCAAGTACTTTCTGAGATTCCTTGTAGTTCTCCCCTTCCTTTCGTTCATCGTCCTCGAGCCTAATTATATCTTCTGCCTATTTGTTGATGAGTTCTCGTAGGAACCAGTTCCTCTGCATATCTTCACATTCTTCATCCTGCATGATTTGATCTATCTCTGTCCACTGTCTGGGCCATTTGTCGTGAATGATGATATCTTCTAGTTGATCATGCATTTCATCTGACGACAGAATGGTAGTGGCAGGTTGATCTTTTGGAGACGGAGACCTGTTAATTGAAACACCGGGTTCACTAGGATTTCCCGTTGTCATCAGCTTTGAATGAGCTTCTAACTGATGGCTTGATGTAAAAGATGTACCAGTGGTAGCATCATCAGGACTTCCATCCCCTCCTCGGTTGGTATCTCTTGGAGATACGCCTCGGGATGTTTCATCTAGCTCGACCAGGCTAGAGATTTTGGCTGCGGGTGGTGGCTGTTGGTTGGTAGAGGTTTCTGGTTGAACGGGCTGTGGAGTTTGGCTAGCTAAAGCAGTTGGCTCAAGTGGTCGTGGCCGCTTGTTCTCCCCCTCATGAGGATCCGAATCGTCGGGGTCCTCATGGGAACGTTTGCGACCACGAGGACTGTCCTTGCATTTGCTTTTGGTTTCAGGGGAAGAGAGGAGGGCTTCGAGAATGGCTTGTTGGTGGAGGGTAAGATTGGCTTCTGGGATGTTAAGGAGATGGTCCAGCAAAGCCGATGCCAGGGTTTCGAAAGGTAGTGAGGAGAGATCGATGGAAGGTGTGGTCGGGCGTGGGGAGAATACTGGTTCTGTATCTTGGGTTCCCCGAGAATGTGAAGGAATGGGTATTTGGTTGATTGATTGGTGAGATAGGGCGGTGGAAGATATTGGTTGTGTATGGGAGATGAAGGGTTCGGGTGAAGGTTGGGGTGGGGGTTGTTCAGACTGAACCGCTTGGGTGGTCCTAAATTCCTGTGCAAGAGCGGTCATTGCTTCTTGCACCCATGGTTTGATGGTGGAATCCAGGAATCGATTTAGCAGAACGTTGACGTCTTCAAAGGTTGGATGTCCAGTTACGGGGGTTGTAACTGTTGTCACAGCATCAGTGAAGATAGTTGATGTGTGGCCAGCGTGCAATGATGGAATCATTGAAGGCGTAGCAGGGCTTCCAACCGTCATAACTTGCGCTCTGGTTGTTGCGTTCAGGGTGTGTGCACCTGTATGTGCTGTGAAAAGTGTAGGTGTCCTAGAAAATGAATAAAATGTAGGAAATGTGACACCTAGACTCGATGTGTTCGAAGGAGGGGTTTTGACCTCGGGTGATAGGTCAATAGTACGCTCAACTGATTCGGAAGGAACCAGTGAGGGGGGTGAGTCACGTGCTTTTGAAACGATAGCCTGTTGGGAGGCTATCGAGTGGCTGGGTGAGGGCTGTGCATGCGCAGTTGAGCCAGAGGTTGCGACTTCTACTCAGGAACCGAAAAGATCGGCTCCTGTACTTAAGGATTCGGCTCGGCTTATCTGGATAAACGGATCACAACCGGCGAATATGATTTCGTCAGCCTTATCTATGAGGCTCTTTCTGACGCGAGGCTGAGGCTTTGACTTAGCAGCTTTGTCATTTTTGATCTTAGCATGTTTCTCCCGAATAATGGCATCTTTGGAGTTCTTGATGGCATGGGATGCTTCATCATAGTCAGCCTTGGAGCTGTTTGTTTCTCTGTGAACGCTCTTTGATTTTTGCAGCTCTTTGATGGTGAAGACCTTGGGTCTGCCTGCGATTATTGGTGTTGCGTCTTCAGCAGTGATCTTCTTTGGAGATTCGACAGGCAGTTTTCCTTTTCTGATTAGAGCATAGGTGTGCTCAACGTCGTCGCTGTCATCATCATCACCATCAGAGTCAGACTCCTCGCCATCAGTACCCACGCTCTCGGATGCCTCATCGTCAGTGTTAGTTTGGGCTTCACTAGACGACTCATCGGCAGATTCCTCAGCGTCTGTTTCGGTGCCCTCAGCCGTCTGACTCGTCTCGAGAGAGTCGTCAGACTTTCCTTCATGGGGCAAACCGGCCACTGGTTTCTATGGCTTCTGGACTTGTTTAGGACCCTTACTTGCACTCGGCTTTGTCCCCGGGGTAGGTCCAGCTGGGTTTTGCTGAACCATAGGGACAGTTCGCTCAATGTTCACTCGGTACTGTTGGACTGCCGGATTGGATGGATTGACGAGTTGGAGCAGAAACCCAGGAATCCGCAGACCGGTGACAGGATTTTTGTCTGCTTTGAAGTATTGCAGCTTTGGGGCGGTGAAGTGTGGATCAGCACTGCGTCTTGGAATGGAGGTGTGCTCTGCCATGCAATCATGAATGATCAGCCCCAGCCACCTTGCGTATGGGATGGTACGTGGCCTGTTTTTCTCTTTTGCTTTTACCAGGTCCATGACCTCTGAGAAGAAGAGCTGTGCCAAGTCGTAATTTTTGTTGTATGCAATGCCGTGAAAGATGAGTAGGATCTGCTTGTTGCACTTGTCAAACCCGGCATGCTTCGGTGACAGGCATTTGTTTACCAGCCCGAATAGGCTCTTCCACGGATGATGGAGATAGGCTCCATTGAAGTTTGATAGCTGCGGTAGAAGTGAGGTGTAGCCGAGAGCTGCCACGTCTTTGAGGAGATCAGGAATGGATGGCAGCGCATCATACGTGTCGTGAACTGGCAGCGCTAGTGTAGATCGCAGTGTAGATGGCGTCAGGATTACGCGCATGCCATTCAGTTTTGTCTTGATTTTGGAGCGATCCTTCGCTGATTCAGTATGCATGTGGCCCCAAAATTGTTGTAGGTATATCTCTGGCACTGGTTTGGCGTTGTGAAGTGCAGGCCAGAGATAGTGACCTTTCATTATGGCCGGAATGATCGGGTTCTGGCACTTGAAGACGCTGAGGTCTAGCTGGAAGTTGTTGTCCAACACATTGATCCACTTGCCCTTAGGGTAGATGGCGTCGTCAATTTGTGTTTGAGGTGTTCCTGCCATTATGAACTGAAAAAGCATGGGATCAGCATATTAATTCTTTGGTTGATTGCTCTGAGATTAGATTGAAAAAAAATTTAGTGTTTGCAAATTTCAGACAATGGGTGCAGGTGGATTTTTGAAAAACATTGTAAGTCAAAATCTCGAGATCCAAATCTCGAGATCAAGATTTCGAGATTCAGATCTCGA